TATATTGTTTCGGGCACGGGTTCGCATTCTGTACCTACTTATGTATATTTTGTATTTCTCAGTCAAGTCAATGTAAATTGTTTTTGAGAAATAAAATGTCTTAAACCGTAATCTAAATCTCCCATCTGTCAGAATGTAGATCTAAGTCTAACTAATTGAGATACAATGTACTTGTGTCATACAAGAGGCAGTTGAGGTTGATATTGAGGCAGATGAGATGTTGATGCAATGCCATATTAATATTTACACATAACATCTCATCTAACTACAAAACCTTGTTGTTAACATAATAATGTCTTTGTAAACAAAGTACTAACTTATCAATTTGTCACTTGTCTATAGCTATTTGATTGTACAATATACTTACTCTATAATACCACCAAGAGGGCACAGTGCAGGCTCTGTTCACTTTACGTTCAGAGCTATAGTTCAGATCCGAAGGCTCGTCGTTCCCAGAGTCACCGTCATCTGTCTTCTCACTATAGAAATACGACGAAGGCAAGTACGATGGAAAGTCTGGGAAGAGAAAAGCATGGCAAGTTACGCAAACTGGCTCGCCAAAACTAGGGCCGTAGTAGCCATTGCACACGTGACATGTAGAATTCTGTAACAAAAACAATATTGTTGCTGTCATAACACAAGTTTCCAAGTACTTATTAGAGTGTTTATTAATTGTATGTGTTCATATCTTACGTACATCAAATTCAAAGTCAAGGGGCGGTTCACTTGGAGGAGTACAAGTGAGCTTATCCCCATTTTCTTCTAATTTCTTCATAAATTGGAAAAATTCAGGTGTCATTGCAAACATGTTTACACTTCTTCAAATAACAGGATGGGAATTCTTCACAAAACAAAAACTGTGAAAACGATCATATGAGTGGTTTCATTCAGGGTAAGGGTGATTCAAATTTCTGAATTAGTATCAAAGACAACTAATTTCATCTCGAATAAGACTAGATTTCATAAATCACCATCAGAAACTAAAGAAAATAATCAAATCAAATCATGAAATCAATCAGGCAATGCAAATGTCAATTTTAATGTTTGAGTTTAATATGACACTGACAGTACAGTAATTTATTGCCAGCAGTAAATAATATTAAAAATTATAACGCCATCTACATATTTTTTATTGAATGTGTAAATGATGAAATGATACAGTTGGATCACTTTTATTATGATATGACTGTCCATTTTTTTAAATGAGTAAATTAACCAATTCTGCCTAGCTTGACTCCGAACCAAAACAATGAAGTCCCGGTCGACGCGTAATCAAAGCAATGGCAACTGACTTGAAATCATTACCTCTACATTTCCTCATTTTTCATGAGGAAATGGAAATTTCAATGAGGAAATGTTAATTATTCAATAAATAAATTATGTCTATTCAGACCATTGTCTTATTTTTGCATAATTATAAGTGTAATGATTTTGTTTGCACCGACGACGTTACGTCTGCTTCTGGCGTTTATAGAATTAAGAATTTTTTTTTGTAATTAAATGTTTATTCATGTGTTCTTTGAAAATGAAGGTTGTTTCGTAGTTTAGTGCAAGTAGGGTTGATGATTTAAATAAAACAACAGCTCCGTTCTTAAAATTATTCTTAAATTATTTTCATTTCATGTTTCTCCTTTCACTTGTTTCTTTCGAGTTTTTCAAAGTGCAGTGCAATTTTACCTTTTTTTTTTAAAACGAAACAATAATTATACAGGCATGTCAATTTTCATACGTGTACATTGTACTTTACAATAAGATGAATAAATACGAATTACAATTAGTATAAATACCAAATAAAAGCAACCAAATTTTTTAATTTCTAATACTTCAATAATATTTTAAATACTATTGTAATATTTTAAAATGTAAACAATTATCTGGACGAATACAAACTAATACTATCACGACAACATTATCATACACAAACATTGAGATGAAATAACAAAACACAATGTAGATACAGTCAAAAATTATAATAATTCTGAGACATAAGTGAAAATGTAACTAACTATGTCAATACATGATATTAGAAACAAATTATTTAATCTTTTAAAGTCCTATGTTAGCGTTTTGTAATATAGCTATTCCTAGAGGCAGGCGCGAGGCGGCGCGATCCATGCACGTTGGTGGGAACACTGCTCGACAATGTTACACGTACATTCGATATGATCACCGATCATTACATTACTAAAATACTTCATATTGCGAATTAACTGTATACTAGCAATCCTAACAGCCTTGTGGCACTCACAATGGCTACAATATGACCCTTACTTCACTAAACAACTAAACTGCGATATGAACAATGATTACCAAAATACCATATGTATTCACAAAAATTATGACATCTTCAAGGCAAATATAATACAAATCAGAATCAAAGACGACATTTCAACCTTATCTAAGTGTAGTCGGTACAGAATCAAACATACAGCCGATCAGCAGTGGAAGTTTACATGGTATATTTTCAATATCTATATCCTAGACTACTTACTCTATGCACTTTCCTATAATCGAGTCCTATGAAGTATTTTTTGTTCACAATCATAACAGCACATTTTCAAAACAGTCACTTCATTTCAGTAATCTTATACAAATAAAAATAAAATTCATATTTCCTTAACGCGATCCGTCATAATACACCGGAGTCCGTATATTTTCCTTACCTACATATTCGTAACTGACGACGTTTAGAAAGTAAAGGTAAAAGGTAGAGCTAGAGTCCAGTGGCGCAGGGCGCAGGCGAGCAGCTATAGTCAGGTCGACGTCCCGGCGTCCACACACTAACTTAGCTATACCGCACACTCGCACAAAGCTACCGCGCGGCGGGGGAGCCCCCCTCTACCGCACTCAGTACGGAGAGTAATACATGCCGCGCCTGTAACCTCTGCAAACAAGGCACGCCGTTAGTCACTACAGCTACACGCTACACGTTACAGCTACCAGCTACTGCTACGCGATGCACGCTACGCACTGCCATGCAAGCTACGTATACGACGAAGGAGGGGCGCCGCATTGAAAATGCTCAAGTTTTCTATTACAAACTTTATTTGTAAAAAGTGTGTATAAATATTGTCTTTCTTTTGATCAATTTACAACAGTTTGTACCGAAAATTACAACAGTGTCTACTGTCTACAGAGTTTTTTGCGCAAGATGCCACCTCTAATTTTGTGTCAACAACTGACTGAATCCTTCCACTTCCAAATCAATAAAACAGAAGTAGACAGGGGAGCAACAAGGTGACATCCTCACAATATACCATAGAAATTGAGGTAATTTGCAACTGTTAGTTCAATACAATGCTAACATTCGTTTTTTGTCTTTCATTTGACATAATGTGTAGTTGTATCAATTATACTGATTATGGAGCCTTAAATTATTCCAGACTTGCCAATTATACATAACATTTAATTTAATGATGATGAGAATTACAATAAAACATTTCTAGTTTTTTTTATAAAAGTTTTGGTGTTGTCTATACCCAAAAATGAGTAGACTATTTGAAAACTAAATGACAAACAAAAATATGTATCTGACTTGTTAAGAACTAAAAATAAATAAAAAACTAACAACAAAAATACTAACATAAAATTCTGAACTTAATAACTATTTTCTTTTGTCATAAAATGTTTGGCAACAAAGATTTTCAAAATAATTAAAATTATTACAGAAGCAAGCATGCTTAACATACTATACTGGAGAGAATGACAAAAAAGGAGTCATATAAATTAAAATTTTATGTAAGTATTTATTTTGGCGACTTTAACAATGACATATTTTCATTTGATGTTTAAAACAATTTTTTGTAAACTTTAAAATCAAGTCTTTGGAAATAGTTAAAAATATACAATATCTATTTTGAAGGCTCATACAAAGACAATTTTATAATAAATTACAAAGATATCAAAGCTACAACACTGGGGAGTGTTGTTCACAAGATTTTTTATGTTACTGTAACAGTTGCAAATTATGTAACAGAATAAAACCACAGAAGTTGAAGATGTAGACAGTGTTAATATGGATTGTACCTGCCGCGGCGTACGGGCCGGTAGCCCGAGTAGTACGGTGAGAAGCCCCCGCGGAACGAGCGGCCGCGGCCCCGCATGGCGCGCGGCGGCCGGTTCGTCGTCGACAAGCCTGGCTTGTTTGTACGCTTCGGCATCACCTAAACACACAAACACAAATAATTGCTTTCTGATTTTCATAAAGAGCGAATGAAACTATTCTGATAAGAAACTGAGATTTCTCTCAGTAAAAAGACTGATAAAGAAAGCAGAGTAATAATTTTACTAAAAGCAATGCTCTCTTCCTGATGCTTTCTAAATGGAGGAGCTTGCAGTTACAAATAACCATCAAATATAATATTTTATAACAAGACTGGTTTTAATTATTAATAAAAATCTCAAGTGTGGGGTCAGCCATGTTAACCCTATTCCCAATCTCCGAATCACCAACAATCTCTAAATTCCTAATCCCCAAAAGGGCAAAGGCCACTTGTAAAATCTTGGTGTTTTGGATGTCCACGAACGGCGCTGCGCCAATTGCTTACCGTCAAGTGATCAGTATGCTCGTTTACAGCATCCTATAAAAAAAATCATAACTAACCTTAATTTGCCGCCCTCTAAATAACGACTCGTCCATTGCCATTGCGGTCTGTACGCTGTCTTTGTCCCCAAATTCTATGTAGGCGAATCCCTTAGGATGGCCATCAAACTTATTACATAATATCGTAACCCTGGAAGTAACGAATTTTTAATTAGTAAACATAATAAACAGTAATGTAATAAATAATCCTACTTCCTATTAAGTATACAAACTTTCGCTTTTGTAATATTTGTGTTTGTTACTCTTCCACACAAAAACTGCTGAAGGGATTGAGATGAAATTTGGAACAGAGGTAGATTATGGTCTAGAATAACACATAGGCCACTTTTTATCCCTCGACAACGCGGGCAAAGCCGCTGGCAGAAGCTAGTATTATATAATTTATCAATGTCATTTAGATTTAAGAGTAGCAATTTTAAAAAAGTAAGTTTTTAGGAAAAAAATGACAGGAATCAATGGACACATAAATATTCAACGAATTCTTACCTATTAATAGATCCACATCCGTGGAAGTGCTGTTCTAGTTCCTCGGCAGTGGCGCCGTAGTCCACGTTGCCGACGTACACTGATCTGTTATCTGCCTCGATCTTCTCCTCGATGGACATGTTTAATGGACTCGCTGTGATAAGAAGAAAAAAGGGAAAATTTAGAATAAGATCTATGTTTTAAAATACCACACATTTGTTATTGTTATGAATATAAATTAAACTAGCGACACTTAGAGAGTATGGCTACGAGAATACAATTTAGAAAACAATACTTCTTTTTGTTTATAGTATTTTATTTCTCAGAGTGAATAATTACCATGTGGATAAAAAAATGCACAAATTCATAAGTATTGTAAGGGCCAATAGAAATAAGTCATATTTTTTATAATACCCACACTCCTAGGCTATCGCATCTTCTACAGTACACATGATGACATTTACATATGCGTCAAATTGTGCTAGTGAATAATAAATTACCTTTTACATCTGTATGAAAACAAAGCAATGAAAATTAGTCTCACTTGCAAAGATTATTCTAAAAACTCTATTATTCGCAAAAGCCCCGTAAAAACTGATCGGACGCATATAAAAATGTTGTAAATATGAACAATTATCATGCAAAACATATTTTAATTTTTTTCTCAGAGGACCTTGGTATACCAGAACTTATTATGAAGATTACCAGAATATTGATCCATTATACTTTTAAGCAAGACCTTTGAATAAAAAAACATTAAGAGCAGAGGCTTACTAGCAACTTTCAAATAAATATTCCTAATACAATTGAGAGATAGGAACTTTGGGAGGAACCTGATATAAACACTAAATTGAATAATTCATTACTAGACTATAAAAGCTATAGTATCCATTTGTTAAAAGACTGCAACAAGACTATATTCCTAACACTATCCTTACTGAGTTGCATGATGCAATGATAAAATTGAATCAAATGCATGTTAATTTAAGTACAACTTCATCTACACACTACAAAATAACAGGTGTATATAACAATGTTATTTTTATTGAAATTTTTAAACAAGTGTCAAAAACACCATGCTACTCAAAGAGGACAAAACCTAGTAACTACTATTCAATGATAAGAAAGGGTTGATGTGAAAATCTAAGTGAGCTGAGCAGTTAATGGTAAATAATAAAGAATACTTACTGAGTCCTGGTGGGCTACCCATACTCATCTGCTTGTCAACCTCTGTCTGCATCTGTTTTAATTTTTCAGCCTCCTCCTCCATTTCTCGAACACGGGCTTTGATTGCCGCCAAATCGGGTACTTCACCACCAGCAGCTTCATCACCACCCTTTTGCATGATGAATAATATTATTTAATTTATTAGACACTTAAATTATTCCACTACTATTTCAGTAGCACCAATAGTACACTATAATAGTAACTATGTATTAAAATCACAGGACACTGAAGATATCACTGGGATCTAGATACTTGTTCACCACTTCAAGTGTAAATCCTTACTGGTCCTTTTATGCCTAAGCCTATTTATACCCATCCACTAATGACCTTTTTTAGTGATTAACAGCCATTGGAAATTATTGAGGTTGATATTTAATTTTAACCTGTTTTGGGGTATAAATCAGTCTTTATGAACTAATTAATTACCCATTAGCAGTAGTAGTAGTAGATGTAGTATATGGTAATAATACCATGCTAACAATAGGTCAATATTTAACTACCTAATATGTAGTTATGATGTGATTATGAGGTATGATCTTCATTACATGATTGATATTTATTACAATATCATGTTTGATCATGTGCCTATTGTTATTTATTGTTAGCATGGTATTATTGGCACACACTATTATGTTATATTGTGATTATGAAGATCTTCGTTGCATGATAATATATTCATTACAATATCACATTTGACTCAAATGATTTCGAGTCATGTAACTTGTTCTATTGAAATATATTTCTTAATTACATGCATTTCTATATAAACCAGTCAGCATGTTGATAAACAAATGAATAAGCATCAAAATTTCTAGGCACAACAATTTTATTATGAAGTACTCTGGATATTATCTGACATCCAACCAAATCAAATTATGTTATCAATGTTACATTGTTGATTATTTGGATAAATGCCATAATACCAAACAACTCCTAAGGCTCACTGACCCAAAACAAGTAATTCCTGTAATATTTACCATTATGATATTATATCCATAAAGTAACACGTACGTAAAATCTAAACTTTACAGGTTAACTTTGTAAACCAGTCGGGTAAAGGCCGATTACCGTTAATGCTCAGTAACTGTAACATTTAACATCGGAAATAACTGTTTTCTATTCCGGCCAATGAGTCAAATATTTAGACTTATCTCTAAAGCCATGCATTATGCTACTTTTATCAAAAGTATAACAAGAAATACTTACCCCAAGACTATTGTCAGTCATGTTTAGGGATCCGTTCGTCCCGTCTAAATGATTGTTGTCAATCGTCTCTAAATAATCATCATTTTCTGCCATGACCACTAACTTCTATCATGAATTCAACACTTCGAAATGTAACACTTCACTAAACCCTGAAACAACACGTAATTAGTGAAAACTATTTCTGAAACAATTCTGATTCTGATGATTACGAAGTTATTCTGACGTACCGGTAACCAAATCCGTTAGACTGCAAATGGCCTACTTTTAAAATACTATTCACATAGACCTCTTTAGGTCAATGGCTTTCACTTTAAAAGGAGGAATTTCATGAACATCTTATAATTCCTATGATATTTACAGATTCGTTTCGGCCAAAATATCTAAATATTATACGCCAAACCAAACAACTGACAATGTGACCATTATTAAAAATTAATTGATTGATAATCAATTGATAATGACTAAACAATTTATTTTTCTTGATGTTTGATAGACGAATACTGAACTATCAGGAAGTATATACAGATTTTAATAGACAGGTTCATCATTAATGTATCCTTTATTAGATAAACGTAAAAATATAATTGTAGAATTGCCAAAATATTCTAAACTACATATCTTAGCTGGCAATAATAATGAAGCATAGACAAAAGTCAAAGATCCAAGCAAGTGTCATGTCAATGTCATGTTTTCAGCCTGACTTAGTGACTTTGTTTACGATTTACGGATTTACGTGAATATTGTAAATAAAAAACTATTTAAATGTGAATATTCAAAGATATTTAACAAATTAAAATTACTATTTTAGTTTTGTAATATTTTATTTGAAACTGCCGTCAAAAGGGTTTTTAGCCTATAGGTACATCAACAACAATTTCGTAAAGCACTCATGGTGTTTTCTCACTTATTGTGCAAAGTAATAACTGTGGTATGTATATAATATAAAGTTTATTCAGTATTATTTATTATTTTGACTACATCATTGATTGAGTTGTGCTTATACATATTAGTAATCATGGGGAGTAAAGGATTGCGCGGTCGATTTCCGAAGTTTATTGATTTTAAGTTTTTGCTTTTAGGAAATCTCAGATAGCTTTTCTCCAAATCTAGAATTATGTCAAATGACACTTTCGCCTATCCTTCGATGAATAAAAACGCGGCTCTAAAGTACAAATCGGATCAGATTTGACTCCCTTGGTTTTAAAACTGTCATGGTTTCCACATACAACAGAAACTTGTCAATCTACTTTTCTATATAGCTATTCCGTCTTATGTTATTGTAATAATGAAAATGGAGAAATGACTAAATGTTGGTACAAATGTTAATTTTCAGGTGTTTGTATCTGTGTGCTGGTTTCATGCAATCTATCTGAGTTGGAGCTTGTCATCACTCCACCAATATGCCACTCACAGCTGATGTGGCTGCTCAACAAGTGCAGGTAGGTGGCAAGCCATTTTTACCGACTTCAAAAAAAGTATATGTTTGGCAGATTGTTTTTTTTTTGTTTGTTCGCGTAGTCCTCCACCATTTGTGAACCGATTTCCAAAATTCTTACGTATACGGGAGTATTCCCAAGATGGTTTCTCAATTAGGATTTTTAAACACTACAATTTGATAAGGGTCTGGAGTCGACCTGATGATGGAGACAACAGACAGTCGAGGGAACTCCTCAGCGGTTTATATTAACTACCTTGTATTTGGGCTTGATTCATTTGTATTGATGAGGACTTTACACCTAGATAGAGTGGGGCTGTCATTAAGGGTCTGATGATGAAGAAGTGTAATTGAAGGGAACTCCTCAACGGTATACTGTAACTACCTTGTGTTTGGGCTTGTATAATTTGTATTGATTAGAACTTTGCACCTGTAGATTATAAGTAACAAAAGGGGTATATGTAGCTTTACACTGAAAATGATAAAATAATATAATATAAACTGCGTTTAAAAAAAACGACTTCAAAAAAAAAATTAATAACAAACAAAAAGTCAAAACTAAAAAGCAAAAATAACTATTATTAGTACTGATTTTTTTTTTGTTTTTTTAGTACTGATTGGTTACTCAATCACTGATAGGTTAGAAGTTGGTGCCATAAGCTCATATCATAATGATTTATCCAAAATTGTGAATTGGGTACCTATTAAGGTTTTAATGAATAATTTTGTATGGAACTTATGGCACCGACTCCTTACCTGTCAGTGGGTGAATAACCTATCAGTACTAATTATAGTTATTTTTGCTTTTTAGTTTTAACTTTTTGTTTGTTATTATTAACATTATAATTTAATGATTACTATTCTGCTATATTTTACATGATAATCCATTGTAGTGATAGATCTCCTTTGATCAGTCTCTTAATTACATTTTTTACTTTATTTTGAAATACTAAAGTTAACAATAAAGATCTGTTTTACTCTTCTTTCTAGGAGCGTCTTCGGTCCTTGCACAGATTAATATATGATATTGAAGCGGAAAGAGCTCGTAATGAACAATGTATTGATTCAATATTGAGAGCTGAGAAAGCTGTGGAGTCCCCACCCTCCAATGAAGATTCTTCCAGTTCTTCTCAACAGGTAAATGAATAAACCTGATAATAAAATTAATCTATTTTTTTATTTCACCATGTAAGAATTGCAGATGTTCATAAATTTGCATCCATAATATTTATTCATTATCATGTTTCCAGCAAATGCAGTTGAAGAGTTTATACAAAGCAGGATTGTCTGCAGCAGAGCAAGAAGAGAATCTGCTTCGGAAGGCATTATCCCGTATTTATGAAATACGTAGCATCAAAAACGAGAGGAGAATACAGGTAAAAATATAAAGATTATTTAGAAAACAAATACATAACATAACATCACGCTTTTTATCCCTGAAGGGGTAGGCAGAGGTGCACATTATGGCACTGTCCAATGTAACAACACATGTAACATGTGCAGAAGTGCCCATGTAATAGGTGTGAGCCTATTGCCATATACTGGGCACAATTCCAGACTCTGTGCTACTACTGAAGATTTTTATAAAAACCTCAGTAGTACAGCTCTGTCCGGAAATTGAACCCGAGACCCCTTGCCTGGCAGACGCACTTGCGACCACTCGGCCAACGAGGCAGGTAGAAAAGAAATATTTGCAAGATTACAATAACTTTTTGAAAACAGATACTATAAGCCCTATGAAAAAAAGCTACAAATGAAACGGGATCGACATCTTTGAAAAAGTATACCAATTTGTAATAAAAATATTTCAGGCTCGGTATGCAGGCAACAAGGAAACAATTGGTTGCGGAGCTCTCATGAAAATGTTGCTGAGTGCCGCACAGACATTGCCTCTACACGTAGGACGCGTCGGCGAGCGAGCTCCACCGCTGTGCGGGGCCGTGCCGCCGGACCCTGGACATGTTGCAAAACCAGGAGACGCTGTCGCCGCTCTTGTTAGGGTGTCAGAAAAGGAGGAAAATTGGATATTGGCGGAGGTAACGCACAACTTTTTTGCTGTTAATCAGTCTTCTCTATGAGGTCAGGCGAGTTGTAATTCTATCTAACCAATACATAATTTCAGGTGGTGAGCTGGCTGCCAGCTCAAGGTAAGTATGAGGTTGATGATATTGACGAAGAGCAGAAGAACCGCCACATTCTTAGCAAGCGCCGAGTTGTGCCTCTACCCTTGATGCGCGCCGACCCCCGAGTCGACGAGCACGCTTTGTTTCCTAAGGGCGCTGTCGTGATGGCGTTGTATCCACAAACCACCTGCTTCTATAGAGCCGTAGTCAACAGGCTACCTGCTAATGCTGCAGATCCTTATGAAGTGCTGTTTGAGGTGAATATAATGTGTATATAATACGTACTAGCTTTCTGGATATACTACTTACAATGTAATATAAGTAAGTCCATCTAATAAACCTATAATAATTATGTTTACAGGATTCATCATACGCCGATGGCTACTCCCCGGCGGAGCGCGTTGCGCAGCGCTATGTGATTGCGATCAAGGAAGGCAAAGGTCGCGCCACCTGACACGGCTCCAGCACTTGTTCGGAGCGACCTCCCTCCAGCCGCTCCGAAGCCACTTCTAGTGACTCGATGCTGTAGACTTGTTACAGTTATACACGCCGTCTAATTTATGGACTTATGCTAGAAGCCGACTGAGGAATTTTCATTTAATTTTAATTGAATATAGCGCTAATGTCGCGTTAAAGCTGTGTAATATTAAATTGATGAGTGAACATGTGAATGGACAATGGACATTAAATTTCAGGATGAGCCTGATACAATTTACTTTTGAATCTTTTTGATTGCAGTAGACATAAGATTAGTATTTTGGTGTGTTTTTAAAAATATGCACAATTTTAATGAAGAATTAAGATTACTGAATTGTAGCTAAGAAATGTATCTAACTTACTAATAATAGCTTTGCTGATTTGTTTGCTATTTGGGCAAAATGTAAATCTATTTTTGAATCGATACTATAAGCTACTAACTAGTGTATATTATGTTCTATGTATACTTGTATAGTGGGTAAATAAAACAATATATTGGATACAATCTTTTATTTTATAATCTAGAGTAAAATCTAATAGAATACATGATATTATATAGTGCTTATGTCCGAAATATACAATCATTTAATTTTGATTGGTAGTTAAAACAAATTGATTTATAATTTTCTCTGATTACTTACAAACTAAGGAATAATAATACAATAATGGAAGAAACTAAAATATGTCAGATTGTAATAAACAAAATTTAAGAGGAACTTAACTTTAGGTAGCGCCATACCTACAGTATGAAAACTATGGAGTAAAATAAAACATTTGCTACAAACAAATTATTCAGTCAATCATGTTAAGATGGAAAATAAATCAAATTACATCCTTGTATGTTGGCAGAAACCTGGTAAATAAAACAGTGTTCTTGCTTCAGAAACACCAATTCATTCTGACACAGCCCTCGAAAGACTCGATTACTATTATAACTTAAATCTTACGTTAAGCAATGAGCAAAATTCAAGTTATGGCATATCAATACTATATGTATTATCAACATAAATAAAAAATGAGATCAATATGTATTTTTCTCAACGTTGCGGGCGCTAAGTACGCGTGACACTGCCTCCGGGCGGCGTTCTGGCACTGCTTGCAGTACAGGTTGTGACAAACTAAACATCAAATCATTGCGGTCAATCTTAACAAAATTGATTTCACATTTACATATTAGAATTCGTCATATAATCAAAACGTTTTTAAAGGAAAAAAAATACGTCGGCTAGAGAGCTAGAAGCGATTTTTGGTACTAAATGAAATGAAATAAATATGACTAAGAAAACGTAAATAGACTCGAATGTAAATTTTGGATGGATTTGATTGAATCTGGAAACAAACAAAAACTTCATTACAATGTGTATGAGGTTTATAATTTAATAGTGAGGCAATGAACTGGCGGTACCGTCTAGACAGCCTGTCGGTCGGACATGAGTCCCTGCAGACGACGCGCCACGCTGGGGTGCGCGAGGCGTGCTCTCTTCACGACGTCCCCACCTGCCTCAGCGCCGCGCTTCATTCCCAGCGCACCAACCGACGTGGCCATCCCGCCCATCTCATACGACACCATTGTGTTGATGGCGTGTAGGTCCTAGACAGATAATAATGAATTATGCCAACATAAAATAGCGCCAGAGTGTGACGTGTTTTCGAGTGAAAGAAGATTATTTTTGTCGGAATGCTTGAAATTTTGCGAAAGAGATGAATGAACTATAGTATCTAATAAATAAATATATATTTTTTTTCTCAATGTTTTGTTCCTTACAATAGTGTAATTGGTTTTTTGTACCGTTCGTATCAATACATAGTATAAAACAAAGTCGCTTTCGCTGTATGTCCGTATGTATGCTTAGATCTTTAAAACTACGCAACGGATTTTGATGCGGTTTTTTTTAATAGATAGAGTGATTCTTAAGGAAGGTTTGTATGTATATACATATTGCACCCGTGCGAAGCCGGGGCGGGTCGCTAGTAAATAAATAAATTCATGACAAATGCTATTTATAACTTATTTAGCATCATAATTACCTTAGCAGGGCTGCGGCTGAAGCGGTAGGTGAGATGATGGTGCGGGGGTGGCGGCGTAGTGAGAGGCTTGACGTAGAGCTGGTGCCTCTCTGACACGCGCTGGCCCGCGGGGGACCACGTCGCATCGCCGCGACCCGCCGGCAGCGGAGACAGACTACATTCCTACAATTTACGTGTAAAACTAGAATGCTATGGTTTTGAAACAAGATCTATTGATGAAAATAAGTATTATAGATTACACTTACGTCTTTATGTTTCCCAGTAAATCTTAATGCAAAGTTTTGCATACATTGGACATACACTTTATTGTAGAAATTAATTAAATCGCCTCTTTCTGGTGAACCTGAGTAAAACAAAACATAATAAGATTATTCCATGCTCTATAAACTACTAGGTACTTCAAATAAAAAAATATATTGTTTACTTACTCTCTCCATCACTCTGTTTAATAAGAACAGATCTGTACACATGATTATCGGCTAATGGCCGCTGTCTATAACAATGCATGATTTCTGTAAATGTTCTCTCTACTTGATTTGTAGGATTATTCGATACCTGAAATGAAACACAATTTTATTATGACTATTACTTGATATAACTCCCCAAAATTTGTTATATTGACAAAAAAAATCTCATATTCAGAAAGTACTCACTCTACATATAACGTAGACGGCGCACATGAGTATTTGGTCAAGGTGACGGTCCTTCATAAGCTGCGTCTGGTGCATCACAGAATATTCTAGACACGTCCATATCTTCTTCTTCAGTTCTTCGTCAGTTAAACGCAGTCGAGTACATAAATCATTTACACGTACAACAGCTAAACTATAAAACTGCAATAAAATAACACAGAAATATGACCTTACGTTCTGGGAAAATAAATATTGCACAAGTTCAAATGTGAGTTACCTTTCTAAAGAACAATATTAACGAGTTATTGGTTTTCTTAGGTGTAGTTGTGTTACTATTCGACTCGCCGTTTGAACAACCTGGAGTAGGTTGTGAAGTGCTTGCCTCTTGTTTAGATGGCGTATTGTTTGTGGCAACTGGAAAAAATATCAGAGACAAGACAGCAGGATTAAGAATGTTATCTTCTAAACTATTACTGGTTCTTCTATGTTTGTTAAAATCTTACCAAGTAAAGATTGTCCCGGTTTGATTGTGTCTTTGAACAGCTGCTTTTTCGCCTGGTCCGCTATAGGTGAGAGGTAACGATCCATAACCGACGACACTGGTGACTGAAGACCATCTGTAAAGGAGACCATTTTGGAAAATTGTTCTACTAACATTTCAGTGTGAGTTTAAAAGGTAATAAGTACTTACTTCTACGATGCGGCGAGTCCTGAACTTTAACGTCGATGGATGCTGGTACTGGAGTTTTACTGAGCTGGTCCCATAGTGGACTGTCTGATGTCCACACTAAGGACTCTAACACTTCTTCCTCTACCTGAAAGAGTAAGTTCATTAGTATCCATCACTGACTACAATTTCCACTTGCAAATGATTAGCAGTAAAGAAAAGTAATAACATAAATAGCTATCGAACCGCTACCATACCGGAACTTTAGTACCGACGGTTTTCATTGAGAATATGCGACGGACCACCGAACATCCCATCGAGTATGATCCGCATTGGATAAAAGTCACGGTTCGGTTCAATCCTTTATTTTGTGCTTTATGAATCAACTTACAGCATTGAGATGTTTAATGACATCACGGCTGAGTTTCTCGACGACCGCCTGCACTACAAGCTCGATAATCTTATAGAAGTGGAAGGCACTGAGTCCATATATCTGCAATACTTTCGGGAACTTCAGTGAGTGGAAGCCATAAGCGTGTAGGACTATCTCTGTACAGCACGCGTAAACTGCCAATTGGTAGGTTTCCTGAGTCAGCAGCATCTGTTTGAAGAATTTATTACTTAAGTTTAATTATTTTGTAACACATACATAAAAACGTCATGGATTTTAGAGAACTAGACCGATATGGAACTCGAAGAACACTTGCTCGGCAGTCAATCGACTCACAGCTCGTCGACCGAGTTGAGGCCGTACTCATAAGATAATTGTTATTATCATAGTTATATTATACGCAACAGAATAGTTTTCCTGAACTTCTCCTATGACATGTTGCTATTGCCTTTTGACATGGTCCGGTTGCCGCGTTCCAGTAGGTACATGTGAAAACGACCTTATTGTATTATCTACAGATTCTATTATTGAGTGTGACGTGATATTTTACATATTTGTGATTGCAAAATGCTCCTACTAAATTCTGCGCATTATCATTCAATCGGTTGTTGACATTTGTTGTGCAGTCTGTATTATTATTATTACAATATTGATAAAATGTCATTTTATAAGAAAGTAAGTGATAGGTGAAACTAGATTGCCTACAAAGATAATAGATAACCAGAGGGAAACTACATAACTGTATCTTTATCATGCAAAAATAAATGCATTTGGTTCTGATAAGAGAATGTATGTGCAAGAGTTATGTACTTTATTTTACGTATTATTTAAATTAAATTTTCTCCAACCAATTCGAAATTACCGTGTAGTATACAAGACTGTAGCTTGAAATTGATTTGGAAAACATTTTTTGTATATTTCAGGAGGTTTATCGGACAGTTTGAATAAGTAATTGGACTTTCTAAGGGCCACTGACTTTGATTGAACATTTGCTAGTTTCAATAGACAATTATTTAATAATTACGAACATTTCATCTCCTTCCCTACCCCCGTAGGGCTGTAACACATTTCTATCTTTTCTGGTATTGCGCGTGTCCACGGGCGGCGCTCACGCTCAATGCTTACCGTCATGTGTTCAGCTTGCTCGTTTGTCTCCTTATCCGTTAATAAACCTGACACGCTATTGTGTACTGAGGGCATAGTACGAGTTTGGCGTTCTTATTGACCGGCTCCAATGAACCAACCAATCAGAGGGCTTAGCACAAGTTTATGCGAGACCACGACCGGTGCTCTGATTGGTTGGTTCATTAGCGCCGGCCAATCAGAACGAAGAACGCGTGCTCGTTTCGATTACTTTAAACGTAACTAGAGACCCGGCCCGGCTTCGCACGGGTGCAATATGCATGTATTATTCAAATAAACCTTCCTCTTGAATCACTCTATCTATTAAAAAAACCGCATCAAAATCTGTTGCGTAGTTTCAAAGATTTGAGCATAAAAAGGGACATAGGGACAGAGAAAGCGACTTTGTTTTATACTATGTAGTGAAGCAAACTGGTACTAAGGCCTTTTATTATTGAGTTCACCTGTTTGCAGGACACGGTTCAAGTTGTTCATTAGTGAGAGACCTGCCAGTATGTTTTGACCACTCTCTTAATGCATTTTACTTACATTTAAGGACACTTGTGGTTTCTTCCGATGCTCTTCTCTGATGATGTGTTCAAACACTTTGTAATACAAACAGGTGACCATATTACATCTGAATGATATAGTCTCGTTACTGGAAGTGGTGTTGCTCTCTCTCAAACTGTTAGCAAACTTCTCCATCCAGCGGTTACATGGCTGTACTAAATTCGTGTTTATTGCCTCCATGTTTACATTGCAATCACTGAAACAAAAAGATTTAAATGAAAAAAGAAATAAAGAATTTCTATGTTCTGCTTTTGGTTGTCATGAACATAATGGCGGCAGAGTATTTCAGAATATACAAATAAAAATTTCTTTGATAACAATTCTCTCTAACGCTCTTAGAAAGATATGTAGAAATATGTAAAGAATAGAAAAAAATCTGTCGTACATAAAAATTATAATTTGTCTAGAGACTAGCGTCAGGCACCAGTGACTGATGTGGCACCTTAAGGTTTGACGAAGATTTTTAATACTCTAGATATTTTTTCGCGCCATAACGAGTTGCACACAGAAGTACCCACACACTTGTGATAAAAAGATAACTTCTAATAATAATAAATTATACGTACGAGAACAATTTCAAGAGGTCCCTGGAAGGTTGTGGTTTGGCATTTCTGAGGTAGGAAGCGAGACGAGCGAGGCTGTTCTTAGCTTCAGAAACTGGTGTGAGTTCCTCGTCCCGGCGAGCTAAGTACCGGCGTCCTGTTAGCGGAGTCTCGTGGCAGGCTCGGTTACTCTGATGAGAAATAAACAGTTATAGGAACATTCAAGTAATACTGGCTTGCTTTTCAAGTAAGTGTGGTTGCTAAGCAAGATCTTAGTTAAATTCTTGGTTCATACAATAGGTATTATTCGAACGGTTCTCCGACACGGCCATCCCGACAGCATCGCGAAGGCATTTCTCTATTATGTATGAAAGTTGGTATAGACTTCTGCCTATTACTATTCTTTAAATAATGTTAATTTATAACTTACTGGGCCAAATGTAGCAATAACTTGTGATATTTCATCTCCAGACACTTTATTGGAAGTTACAATTTGGTCATTTGCATGTTCACCTAAAAATAAAAGGAAAAATTAATTGACCGTAATATGTAGTAATGATGATAACTGATTTAAATATACCTTCATAATCAACAAAGCAAGTTAAAATGGGATTCAAATAATAAATATTCGACATTATTTTTACGATTCGCAAAGAGGCTGCGAAAAATGACAAATGACAACAGTTTTTTTTTATAATTATTTCTTATTTATTTCATTTATGGTGTTATTGGCCAGCAATATGCTTAAAACCTTATTGAACAGTTTCGTAAAAACCTCTTGTCGTATTTTTTTTTTAAAATTAGGGCTGTTAATGGTTTGCTTACCCAAAAATATGCGCTCATCAAATTCTCCAACACTTAAAACATAAGTTTCATACAAATTGTTCAATGATTTAAGATTTTGATCGAAATATCCTACATCAAGGACTCCGGAAAGCTGTTCCTTATCACCTTTCAGGATCTAAAAACAGTGAAAATGGTTACCTCATTTGAAGATGCATTCGGAATAACAATAACTTTAAAAATACGGCAATGTTAAAAATGCACAATAAAAATTAAAAACATACCATGTTCTTTCTATAAATAACTAATAACATAATCATGTTGGAAATTAACAATCACAAATTATTCAAGATAATAAATCAGCAATGCACTGCAATGCACAGCTCAATACAAAGTACAATATAATATCCTTTTTGTTCAGAACTCAAGCTAATCAATTATTATTATCAATCAGATAAATGTAAGGCCGCATTTCACAGAAGCGGGTACTGTTTATATTGATGTGAATGAGCTGAACAGATCTTCTCGGCATGTTGGAAGCCTAGTGAATAAGTAGGAGATGATATTATGTCTGAAATGACCTTCTCTATGTTTATTATATAACCCTTATTAAATAGCTATTTAATAGCTATTTCCTAGTTGGGTAGTTAGTTAGTTAAATAATTATAAAAAAAAGTAACTATTTTATTATAAATATATGTATATAATTTTTTTTATAAGGGTGGAAAATCATCAAATGACTTCTCCCGCCTGGGTGAGGACGGAAGGGACTGAGACTCTTACTGACTAAAAACCACCCTGTTCCTCCTTCTGCACTTCGAGCCAGAGCCCGGGTAACCCATTAGGTTTTCCCGGCTTCTCATCGGCATCAGCCCTATTGGGCCCCATCCGTGGTGGTCTGATGGCTCGATGGCTTGGGTATATATATAATATCCCTCTGTTTACTGACAATGACTAAGAGACATTGAACTAAACAGAAGCTAAATTGAATATCCTACTTTCTAATCAGAAAAACTTCAGTAAAAATGATAGCCTACATAAATGGAGTTTGTAAAAAAGTATTAATCAATGTCCAACTAGCATAGCAGAAACTGGAACCTTTTAGGAACTGGAAGGAACTTTTTAATTTGGGTTTTTGATATGCATCAAGTTGTATATGCTTGTAAAACTTACTTGTTTTTCAAAGAATGACTTCAGAACAGGTTTCCAGCTGTACTCCTTAGTTGAAGCAGCATCTACTAGTAGACCATTCTTTATCTCACACAATGTGGACATGATACATGGTGCAGTATTGGGCATTTTGAAGTCATCACTTAACCAATCTTTTGGTACACCTGAAAATATTAATAATATTACAACAACAATCAATTGGGTACTTGCCAACTAGTCAAATTAAATACTTTATCGAACTGTCAAAAACGACTACTTCTATGAATTTTGTATAAGATTGTGTATTGTGACTGTATTTTTTATAGTCAAACAGAATTCTTATTTTTTTTAAAATTTACTGGAAAAATACTAAAATTAATTTGGTTACTTTATGACCAAATTAATTTTAGTATTTTTCCAGTAAATTAACAGTCGAAATTATTTATTTTGTATTAAGGAAAATACCCAATTATTAATTTCAATAATTTTGACTGATTATAGATTACTTAAATAACACTACCAATTACATGACATAAATTATATATATAGATAATACCAGCAGTGATATGGGGATGGCATAAAAATTTTATACTCTAAAAAGAAACAATGTATTAAAATTATACATACCTTTGAAGGCAGGATTAATTAAATCAATCCTTCGGCTTAAGAAAGCATTGGCGAACACAAAGTCCAAACATGCAAGCAGCAGATGGTACATGTCAACAAGATCATGAGCAGACTTGTGGAACTCTCCCTTAACACATATGTATAAACACCAGGTGAACTCATACAGAGCATTTGTACTACAAGGTTGGTTCCTGCATAAAGACATAAAATGTATTTACCATTACTATAATTTTATAGCCAAGCTACTTATATTCATTCAATAAACACTTTCATTTCAAAATTGCTTTTTATAATATCAGAGAATTAAAGTTATAGGTTTGTTGTACAATTATTATTGTAAATCCATATTACTATTTGGCCTAAATGTAATTAATATTTAGATCACATTATCATTTACTATTCTTTAACTTTTCCTATTAACTATTCAATAATAATAATACAAGCAAGACTGCTAAGAAAATACACTTACTTGGATCTTCTCTTAATAGTGCTAGGTTTCAAAGGCTCATTGGTCAAACCAGAAAAGATTTCCTGGAAGATGGGCTGGAAGTTTCTGTACAGAACTGTGGACACTGCAAACTTGTGCTCCAAATGAGATATCCTTTCTCTAAACTCAGTTGACATTAAAGCCATCTCCATCCAATTCTTGATTTTTTTGAAGAACTGAATCAGACTGGGGATCAAATTAAAATGGTAAGATACAAAACAATGTTAATTAATAAAGTAACTTTTTTAAATGGATATTTTGTAACCTTATGTTGCATAGTCTTAATAGCTTGGTAAGACTGACACAGTTTCCTTCTACAGCCTTCCCAGACTGCACAGTTGGTGTTATAGAGGTCCTGCATGCCACATACAGGGCACATGCCATCCAATGCCCTGTATCACCCTACAAAAACCGAGATAAATTAATAAGAATCTAGTGACTATCATAGCAATCCTAACCATGCCATGCCATGGAGGTATGTAAACAAAGGCTTAGGGAAAAATATTTTAAAAATTATTTCTCATTGATTATGAATTATTGTAGAATGAGTTTCTTAGGGAATAATGGCGCATCAATTACCATATTCGCTTAGATAACAGACTCGTAAGCTTTATTACACCAGGTGAAAGTTGTAGGTTACAAATAGACGCTAACTGGAATCACAAAGGCATACGTGATATTATACTACAATATGATTAAAGAAAAAAGGTTAAATAAACGTTATTAAACTATTTAATTCTCAAAAAGAACTTCAAGGGAACTAATGAATCGACACACGTAACAACTAGCAAGGAAGGAATGAAAGCATACAATTTTTACATGGTAATGTGAATTAATATGAACGTGGGGTGTCTATTGTATTATAAATTACGAAGAAATTATCCTCAGATACTTACATCTAAAGTAAAATGTCGTTTTAAATGTAAAAATGAGTCCTTAGCCTTTTTCGCAGCAACAGGGTCAACATTTAGATCTGAACAAAGACTGTCCATTAAAGCTATTAAATTTTCTTCACTTTCGTCTAGATTAGACATTTTCACAATGATTTCACTGTACGGAATACTAAATAAAACATAAAAATAAACAACCTTAAACACGTAAACTTATCCCGAGTAGGCCTGATTTTGACAATTTGACAGATATTTGGCGGGCATTGGCGGGAACAACACGACTCCTCCCACGCGCGTCAATTTTGTCTTTGGTTTCAAACATGGCTGCGTAAAAGGGTTGGTCTCACTGTAAGTTTTGTGAGATTTTCTCTGAAAGATTTAATTTTTTTTGTGGTATAGGTAGGAGGCAAACGAGTAGATAGACCGATCACCTGATGGTAAGCGACCAGAACCGCCCCGTTGCCGGCGTTTTAAAAAGGAATACGCTCTTTTCTTGAAGGTTTGAAGGTCGTATCGGTTCGGAAAACATAATAAAAGTTATAAGTTTTTAAAGTTACACGTATAATATGTAGGTAATAATTACCTGATAAGGTAAGATTACGATTGGATTACGAGTAAGAGCGCGGCCCCACTTGTCCATTGAACTGTGTTGCGTCCAAAAATGCATTGGACACCCCACCTAGGTTGCGACCATGCATGACGTCGCAGCAGCGTCAGATAGTGATACAAACATGATTACTTGACTGTCTGTCGACGCAGCTCATTACTCTCCCTATTGATTCGTCAATCGTCTCTAATCCGTCGATCTGTTGCCGCTCGCACCGACGAATCGTTCTAATGGGCCATATCGTAAAAATATAATTATGGAAAATGACGCTGTGACGATGTGGCGACGACGTTGCAATGACGCAAAACGACAAATGGAGCCTCGCTGTAGAAGCGAGGAGAGTTGGTTACCTACTTATTCTTATCATATCAGTGGTCCGACTCTTTTATTTATTTTGAATTTTAGCAAGCAAGTGTCGCAACTTCGCAAGTGACAGTGACGGTTGACATGACAAAAACGTCAAACCAACAATGAATAATATTGGAATTGGAAATTCTTATTATAATTATTTAAATGTAATATCTGTATTGTTTTGTTTTTCTTGACAAGAGACGTTCATTATTGTTCATTATTTCGAAATATTGTAGACTTGTACATCGTTAACTGGTTATATGAGTTTTTTGAGTTAATTGTTTTACATTTGTGAAGAAAATGATTTCTTTTCATCGGCTTTATCATGTCTCCCGCGTCGCTTTCAGTTTGAAGAAGCAAGGATTAAAACTATGTAAAATGGTGAATCCGAAGAATAAAAGGTAGCTGTCATTTTTCTGACTTAGCCCCAAAATATTTGTGTTTTGACTTTTGAGGTTATGTGTTTGTTGTGGTCGGTTTTCAGGCAATGGCACCCCACACAACAATTCTTCGAAAATACTTTACCGACTGTAAAGAGTCTAACACTGCAAAAGCACGAACCTGGGAAGCGTGGAATGCGGCGCACATCCATGCTGAACAAAATGTTTATGAAACATATAACTGACATGATGTCTACGGGCACAACTGCTTTGGATGTAGTGGGACGAGGAATTGAGATTTCAAGAGTAAGTATGCAATATTGTCGTTAATAAGCGCTATAAAATTTTTTTTTTAGCAAATTCTTAGTAAGTTAGTAGCAAAAGTAGAACTGTTTTTGCCCAGTTATCTAACACTGTAGACAACTGAAGACTTCAGATATAAGTTACCTTCATATTCTTCATTTGTTAAGACGGCCCAGCCATATTTGTTTTTCTTATCACAATTTAGAAATTCAATTATTCATTTATTTCCCTGACTAACTTGTACAACTTGTAGGTAATATCGTTTTTTATTTATTTTATGGCTGAATATTTGGCCACTATCTTCCATTTATTACAAACCACTATGAATTATTTATTGTACATATCTTCATGTAGCTTCCTTAACACATTCTGTGGGTGCTGCACATCCCTAAGGAAGTAATTCTTAGTTGGCTATAGACTTAAGGATGTCCCTGAAGTCGACAATCAAATGGCACCAAGTGATTGGCAAGGTCCAACAAACCCTTGTTGATTTCCATAATGTTTGACAACATGTGCAAAGATGTGCAAAGTGTTATCTAGTGCATACAAGGTATTTAGGTGCGCTTTGGGAATACTAGAAAAAAATTTAGTGAGTACAAATACATTGTACGAAATTGGAGTTTCGTTAAAAATATTTTTTTGTGTTGAATTTAAAAAATAATGTAGGGAGTGGTATATATCATTTTACAATTCTTATTAACTTTGGTGAAATTTGCCTCTACCACTGCAGTACATTTTTCATTCAGTGCAGTCACTTTAATTAATATGAGAATTTTATTGAGAATACATGGTTCGTCAAAAAATTATATTCTTTTCTAAACTAAAGCAGTTGGTTTAGAATTTGGGATTCTAAAGTATTAAAATACTAAAGCACTATTCAGGATATCGTAAAAATACAGATGAAAAAATAAAGAATTGTATTAACAAAAGTCAAAAGACTGGCACAGGGTGTACTTTTTCGTGGATAACACATAAGTCATTGCAATTTAAAAAATATGGGACTTGAATTTTTTTAATTATTTTTCTGATAACTGTTGGCACCTTGCCAATCACCTGGTGCCATTTGATCGTCGACTTCAGGGACATCCCCTGTATAAGCTTTAATAAAAATAAATTTTCTTTTACAGGTGAGTGTCACTCCAGATATGAACACAGTCAATGTGTTCTGGGTGTGCAAAGGCAATGCTTCAGATGCTGAAACTGAGAAGATATTGAATAGAGTTGCCGGTGGCCTGAGACGTGAGCTGTCCACACTCAGGGTCATGGGAGAGGTGCCTTACATTATGTTTGTTAAAGGTAAAGAAATAATTGGTACCATATTGATTTTATTACGTTTTCGGCTTACTCACGTAATTATTTAACGAGGAACTCGACTAGTTTCAAGCCATGCTAGAAGCTCATATTTATGAGCAGCATTTCGCGCGCCGCGGCGATTGTCGCGCTGCTGGCGCGACAGAAACCATTTGGCAGCACATTCCGACAAACTTGAACCCTTTTTAGTATGAAAAAAAACCTGTTAAGTGTTAATTAGTTAGCTGTGTGATTTTTTGATAAACAAATAAACTTTTGTCATTTTGTTCATAAATAATATAAATAAATTATGTTCTTGAGCTAAGCATAATACATAGTTTAACTATGACAGCCTGCTATGTTTGTAAGGAATCATAGTTACATACTGTAATGGCAATGTATCTGTAATGGCAAAGTAATTGGATAAATAAATAAATACTTTACTTACCTACATAGAATATACAGGTATTTTCTACATATAACATTTTCAACAATATATTAAAAATAAACTGGTAACATATCTTTATTGTTTCTTTATTTGGGCTATAATATCCTCAGATGACTCTATTTCTGCCTTTATAATTGGGACTATCAAAGATATAACAAATGTTTGAAAGTCTATTTACCTGTCCACAGATAAACAAGAAGCTCATCTAGTAGACTTGGACCGTCGTCTAGCAATGGCTGACTATGGTGAAGATTATGTTCCCACAGACTTGGGGCAGTTGCTAAAATCTGAATTCACTTTAAATACCAAATTATCGCCTGAAGTGAAGGTAAGAAACATTTTTATTACACATGCGTAAACGTAACACCACGCCTTTTACTCCTTAAAAAGGTCGGCAGAGGGGCACATGTCAATATAATTTTCGGAAAACCGAAAGAGCCTTTTGCCTGGTAATCCAACTTGTCGTATTGCACTTTGTTGTTGTGGTGGTCTGAATTGGGCCTCGCACGATGTAACATAACGTCGGTTTTCTGTGAGACAGTGCCATTTGTGCCACATTCGAATATTTTACATTCAATGCAAATCATACTTTAAAAAATCCCTACAGTGAGAGCACTACGAACATATAGCCTGCGTAAAAAAAATGTTGAACTTTTTAAACAATTGCCTGGTAGTTTTGTACTTTTTAATAGGTGCTTCTAGTCTCGTTAGTAATGCCTGCCGAAAGATTTGACTCGTAAGTACGCTAAGGACCGGTTAAGAACACGTTTGTTACCACTGTTTCGCAGGGCGGCAAAATTCTCACTACGCGCCCACTGACGTTTCGCAAAAAGGCGCGCCCACTTCTAGGGTTACAGGTACATCACATATAATATTTAAAACCAAAAACGGTCTCTCTCCACAGGCTAAAATAAAGCAACTAGAAGATGATCTACCAGTCTTCGAGGATCCATTGCCTGAGATGACTCACAGCATATTTGGGCTGGACCATGCGAAGATAATGAGCCGACTGCTGGCAGCTAGGAAGAAGAGCCATGACGCTTGGAGTACTATAAACACAGACTCTTCGGACGTCATATCATATAGAGCAACTCCTTATAGAGTTCCAGATGTTGGCAACCAGAGAAAAGAGCTGGCTGACTTCTTACTGCAGAGACAGGTTAGATATGTATATTATTTTAGAGTTTATCTTTACTAATGTTTGGCTTAAAACATTAGTTTCTTTAATGCAATGTTCCTAAAATTGCTGGTGTAATTTTAAAAATATTTTCTTCTTATTCGTGATTCTGAAATCTGCTCAATTTAATTTTTATTTTCTTCGTCCTCGGAAAAAACCCCTTTTGGGCAGGTTATTGTCTCTTTTATTTTCGTGACTGGTAGCCTCGGCCTAAATGCTGTACGTTGATTTTAATGCTTCGAACATTCCGTCATTTCTTCTTCATGATTGATGGATGTCACTTCAAGTTTGAAACACCTATCTCGTTGCAATGTGAATATAACAATGGCAATTTAATATGCCACGATTAAAGTAAGTGTTTGGACCATCTATCGTATCTATTTACCAAATTAGGGTTTGTCGAGAAACTTTTTGCCTTTGTACAATAAAACCGGATTGAGCTCGCCTGCGATGTTTCCAGACATATACAAATGATACACGGGTGAGAATAAAGAAAAAAAAAATCCGGCTTACTCAAACGTGAATGTTTTAAAAAACTAAAGCTTGGAGAAAATGCATAGGTACCAATACTTTCTTAGACGTTACATCCGCTCATTTGCCCCTATCCTGTTAACAAAAGAAATTATTGGCTGATGAGATCCAAAGGAAATTGTGTTAATATCCAAATTCCCCCTGTAGTACTTACATAAACATACATTGTTATAAACAAGTGATTCCAATGCCAAAAATTAGGATTAACTAAAGTCAGGTCTAAAACTAATTTTAACCAACATTTACAGATTCTTCAAAAGAAACTTTCGAAGCAGAACAAG